TAGAGACAAAAAGCAAAATTACAGAGTAAAAAGATAAATAATAAAGTGATAAGTACAAGTACAGACAGAGTAGGTACATTACAATTTAAATATCAAGTTAAATATGCAATTACACACAGAGTATGACAGAATATACTATCAGTGATTTATATACTAAAAAATTCTTTCAAAATATAGGATGCACCCTGAATTGGTACTTTTTTCAGTGACTTCTTGAATCTGAAATAGGTAGGTTAATCTTTGATGTTTTGGGGAATTTTATTAAAAATTTGAATTCCGATGCTTAGAGGACCGTTTTGCGCTAGATTCAATCTGTTTTGAGGAGTATTCAGCAAATGCCGATTCCTGGTGGAACGACCGTGAATGTCATTACGACAGAGCAAAGTATTTTTATGTTTGTTAATGTAACAAGCAGTTTCCAATATGTTAAAAGATACTTGTAGCTTTCTAAAGAGAGGTCTACTAGATTCTGTTTGGGGTTTGCAAAACATGGCACGAATGCACTTTTTCTGTGTAATGAAGAGACGTTTGGCAGCAGGTGATTGTCCCCATACTATGATTCCGTATGCCAGTGTTGACTGAATTTCTGGCAAATAGAAATTTTTCATTACTGGCGTTATCAGGACTTTATACATACAGCTTATTTGAAATATTTTGGTGTTAATATTTTTTATTAGAGAAGATACATGGGTTTCCCAATTTAATTTATCATTTATATTCCAACTTTTATGCCTATCACCAACAAACTAAACATGCTAAACAGCTTTGCAGGAAAACCCGGAAAAACCTGCAGCACCAAATCATCTGAAGATTTTGATTTGTCAATGTTCCCTTTTTCGTAAAATAAAATGTAGGTTATCTCCAGAGGCTTCAATAAATTCAAGACATCGCCAGAACGCTTAGTGACACGACTATCGTCAAATTTAAACCAGTCTGTTTCATCTTTTGCTAATGCGTAATAATGGCCAGATTCAACGCTAGAACCACAGTGAACAATGACTGCATGAAGATTATAATAGTGGTCTGCTGGAATGAAATGTTCATCTATTTCGAAGCTTCATAAGAGTTTGGTGCTTCCGTCAGAGGTTCAGTCATGTTTGAAGATCATCAGTGTTATTAGATTGACTGGTGCCTCAGCTATACTTGTTTTCTTATAACAGTCAGTTAGTTTGGCGCATGTTTGGCAATATAGTAAATCAGCACCTGTTAACATTCGTTTTTGCTACCTCTTGAACATTTACTACAAAGTAAACAAGAGAGGATTTTTCCAGTAAAAGATATACAAACACAAGACGAGATAGACTGTACGGAATCATTCAATCCAGAGCGATCAGGAGTATTGATTCTGCTATTGTTTTGGTCACGAAGAGTATTCAACAAGAACCCTAAGAATTCGGAACAATCATCTTGTTGTCCTAATGAGTGGACTTCAAAAACTCCAGGAAATTCGTTGGAGGGAAAGATGATACATTCTTACGAAACTGCAGCTGCGTGAACAGGTGTCTGAGTTTGGTGAATAAATAGGAAACATTCTCGTTCTTGTTCATCGTTAAAACCTCGTTCTTGAAATTCTTCTTTATGAACAACTCTGCAAGATTTTCAAAACAACTGTCTACTGATTCGTAAGGAAGAACATGTTTCACAGAATCTGTATCAGAACCATTTCTCAAGCTGCAATCGATCCTTTCAAGTGATGAAGGGTTTCGTAGAGGAATCGATTCGGCTCTTGCTTCATGAAGCTCTTCCACTGAAAGGTAACCAGAACCACGAGGACAGCAGCTCATATTTGGGGGCAAAAATAACCAAAGTCCATTGACCGCACTGAAAAAGAAGAAGGTGGATCAATCACTTGCGAATTAGCCTTGATAGGAGACTCATGAATATACACATATCTTGGCTTGTTTCGAAGAGATTTTAGTTCCATACTGAAATGAGGGCAATTCATGATCTCAGCAAAATTATGTGAAGGAAAAAATCTTCTGTTGTCAATACGGTACCAGCAAGTTTGGTTTTCAAAATCTGCAGGTTCTCTGTATCATATTGAAATTTAGAAAGCTCTTTCTACTTTTGACAAACTGTACAATTGATATATTTTCATGAACAGTTTGTCAAATGTAGGAAGATCTTTATGAATTTCGATATGGTTACTCGCAGGTTGTAAGAAGATGAAACAAAATTTAATGTAGCAGTTATTTTTTTATTTTCAACTTGTATCCTGAGCACTTTCTTTTCAAAGCCATTCTAATGAAATTGTGGCTTTTCTCTAGAGTTTTAGATTCATGAACAATGAGAATCAAACTTCCTATGTTTTTATATCACTTGTATTTGTAACTAACGTTACTGATGCAGTTTCGTCCTACAAGGTCATTTTCAAACGAATACAATATTCGTTACAAATAGAAATTGTTTTGGAGAATCGTTGAATCATTATTATTGCAGTTGTTGAGGATGTCAGCATATCGTTTGACTAATGCCATGCAATTTTTTCGAAAATTTTGGGTATGAAGCGTATGACAGCAAAGTTCGTTTCAAAATTGCTGAATTTGACCAAAAAACCCGTCGCATCAGCATCACTCAGAAACTTGTTTTCATTGTTTAACCCGCTCATTATTACAATACGAGCATTTGAAATTCCCACAAATTCGTCACTTATTCGTGAAAAAAATTATTGAAATTTATTTTCTCCTTCAAGTTCTGTACAAAATATTTATCAGAAAAAATTTGTATTACATAAAGTGAAATTTAGGTTTTTTCTCACGTCTTGAGAATGAGTTATTCGGATATGAAAGAAGATTGAGTAATGCTTACGTAAAAGTGTGAATGAAATTTGGGTCACAAATTTTTTCGCAGGTGATGTCTGTTGTCAAAAATTCTGTCTCTGCTCGTTGAACCATACTTTATAACAAATAATTTTTCCAATTCAAGTTCATAAACCGAAAACTGTTTTTGTCTGCAATAATGTTACCAAAAATAATGACTAAATTCCAATGAAAAACATCAGAATAAGATATAGGGAATATCATCAACTCTTCCGGGATGATCACCAATTCATATTTTTATTTATTTTTCTTTTGTCAAGGTACTCTCACCGTAAATTGTTTTTTTNCCAAGGAATAGTCCCTTAAATTTTTGTCGCATGTTTAATAAACACCCTGTATGTATCAAGCAATGCCCAAATTTGAAAAACCCCTTCACTTTCTGAAATATATTTTCACAGGCTCTTTGCGGACCAATTGAATTTGAGAGACATGAGAGAAATATGTAAAATATATATTTATACTCAGTATATACCCAAATTGCTCTTGGTAATGTCAAAAACTTGTTCAATAAAATATTTAGCTACATTTGAAGTTTTCTGATTGAGAATTAATGTGTTAGTTATATTCTATGTATGTGATCAAAGATGTATGTATATTCTCGATCAAACCTATGCCAGGAAGAACTTGAATTACTTCTTTTTCCCCTTCAGGTGTAATCTAAGTGGCAAAGAATCCGCAAATGTCTGTATGACTCTTGCCTTATAACTTTCATAATACTGCTTCTTAAATGATTTGATTGAATCCAGTAAAATATTTCAAATTATTTGATGTGAGACAAATCTATTTTGTTCAGCTAGTAACAACACAGTTAAAAGGAAAAAGTGTTTCATTGATTCCAGATCACAGTTATTCAACTGGATGAAAAATAAGCTCATTTTTCCTTCTATGAATAAAACGGTAGGTCAGAAAGGTTATCTCTTTCTGGTTCCAAACACCTTCAGTTTTCTACCAGATTTAAGATACTGGTAAATACATTTTTTCTATCTGGTTGAGACAAT